CAACGCGAGCACAACGAAATGAATCACAGGCTCCCATAAAAAAATCAGAAATCTCAGTGTCTCTGATGTCAGCCCCCCTTTTTTTTCTTTCAATTAATTACGCTAGCTAATGACACCAGCAGGGGATTTTAACGACAATGCGCCAGGCATTCCAACGTCGTTTGACGTTGGTTAGAATGAAAAGAATGCCGCATAAGTAATTTTATATACGCGACGTAGCGCGTCAGGTATGCAGGGTATACTGCAGAAACAAGCGAGACCGGTTTCCTACGTAATGACATAAGGTTGGACGTTGTGACGTCACTCACCGGCCACCTTTGCTGACAAAGTTCAGGTACACGCCGTCGGGTGACTCGTTCCCGACCTTCGATTCATTGAAACCAGCCGGCCCCGCGGCGAACTTGAAATTCTCTCTTTCTCTCTCCCTGCGGTGCAGATCTCGAGATCCGTTGATCTCGATCAATGGGTAATGTGTTTTCCTTTTTGTCACGTGGAACAAATCTGATCGCTGTATGTACTGTGGATATTTACGGAAATTCGAATTTTCTACAATGTAATCGGGAAAATGGAATTAGAATGGAAAATAGTGTTTGTGATAAATATACCGTTAAAAATATTACAGTTTGGATATGTTATGTATTTTTTTGTACCGCATCAATCTGTGTAATTTTGCAATTTTTGTTACGCTTTTTCATCCTATGAAATTTTTAGGAAGATTGAGGTGTGTTTGGAATCATGGAAAGTTTATTTTGCAGTGAATCGAGAATTCAATTTGTTTTATGCGCACTTTTATAATTTTAGGTTTCTTATAAATGCATATATATTTGTAGTCTATTGAGTATGTTATTATATGATGATAAAATTGACTTGCTGCATTCAAGATCTGTTTTAGGTTGGTTGATCTTGGTTTGATAAGATGAGAAGTAGGAATGATTCGAAATTTGTTGAAGAAGCATTAGGAATTAGGTTAGATTGAGAGTCCAATTTGGTCTATTGTTAACTATTGTCTGTTGATTATTAAGAAAATAATTGTAGAAAGTAATGACACCAGAATGATCCGAAGAAAAATGGTTTTTTCAAGTTGCTTCGGATGTCTGGTCATGAAATGTTGTTTCCACTGTATGTTAATGCGATACTTTATATTTATATACAATGCTGTTGATAATTAGTGAAAGTAATATGAATATGCAAACTGCGATTTGCGACTACTGTGAGGTTAGGACGACAAGAAATGTCTTTCTTGTATTTTAAACAAGTCTGACTATGAAAGAGTGTTTTCATTTCCATGTGAACTTCAACAATAATAAAACTCCAATAATTGAAATGAAATGAAATGTAATCAATTATATTAGAAATATTTATATCTAATTTTAACGTAGTCAGATCATAACCTGCTAATTCTACTTTGACTATCTTTTACACAGTCGATATAATATGAAGTGTTACAGCATACTTCATAGAAAGGTTACCAAAATGAACATGATCATGCCTGCTACATTCTTTCGACATTGAACAGCGTCTGGTCATAAAATGCCATTTCTACTTCGGCTTAAAATAGAACTCTTGACAGAATGTCTTTGTGAAACAGCGTTGTTCGTGGAAAAGCCACAGAGAATTAAGGAATAATTCGTAAGGACAATGAAGTCACGGCAACCGACTGGCTGCTTAAAATTTCAAGGCAGTCTGATCATAGATTTTCGCTTCTACTGTATCTCAAACCACACACGCTCGCTGTGCATTCTTTAAAATTAAGTATTCCGTATAAAACACGGTAAACTTCGCAAAAACAATTGAAAAGTCAGCAAGGTCGACACGAAATAAAATATTCTTTTTTTCGAATATTGTCTGAACATAATCCTCCGTTTCTGCTTTGTTTTAAAATATGCATATTCATTGTATAATTTTTAAAATACAATTTTCAATGGAAAAGTCAGTGAGATATGAAAAGAGAATCGAAAAAGTCTGCACGGTTTCTCAGGAATTTAGCTTCTTTTCAAAATACCAAGGTTGTCTGATTATAGAGCGCAGTTTCTACTGTAATGTAGGAGCCACTTGTCTATCGGACAGGAATTCTAGAGAACAAGATCAAACCACGACACTATTAATTTTAAGGTGTGAAAATGTCAATATTGACATCGGTTTTTCTACAAAATTTCTGAAGAGGAACTCGATCCTATGTCTTGTACGCGCGAGATAAGATAATTTCGCGGTGTACGATACTATATCTGAACTATTCCGTCTAATTGTAGAATTACCTTTATTATTCAATGCTTTTCACGAAATATTTTCGATAATCGCAAAGTCTACAGTATCACACAACAAACACGATATTGAAGAGTCGGATTTAATCTACCTCTGATTAAATGTATCAGGTTGTTCCAGTACAATAAAATGATGGAACAGGAAAATCGTTTGACAATGGTTTCAGTAATTTTCCGTGGCAGTATATAATACTAATGTCACGATCAGAATTCCGTAAAACCGAATAACAATCATGATGTATATTTTTCATAATATTTCCATGTTGACACTAATCACTGTATATCTTTAATTATATTTTATTCAGTTAATATATTTATTTTATTTTAAGGAATCTTCTATTTGGAGAAACAAATTATTCTATTAACAGAACGAACAGAAAGGTGGAAAGAACAAAGAAATTATCGTGTAGAATAGATTTCGCCATTTCTTATAGAATAATTAACAAATGTTACAATAAAGTAATTTCCCTGCAGTATAAACGAAGAAATAAAAGGAAAATCGAGAGGAATAAAGAATTTTTGTATAGAATAAATTTCGTAATTCCTTATAGAACAATTAAAGAATTTGAATTTCGTAATTTCCTACATACCAATCAACAAACGTTAGCATAAAATAGTTCTCGCACAGAGTAAACAAAGATATAAAAAGGAACACGAGAGGAACAAAGGAATCTTCGTACACAATAAATTTCACAATGTCCCATAGAACAATTAAAAAATGTTTACTAATAACAACTCCTAGTACAATTTTCATATAACATAAACTACCGCAATTAAACTGACCCACACACAAACAAACTAACGAAAAGAAACACGAAAAGAACAAAGGATCGTTGCACGGTCCCAGATGACGGTAGGCGATCAGCGAAATGGGAAAACCTGAATCGTGTGAAATCAATGTGCTCGCGGCTCGCCGCTCCAAAGACAGCTCGATATCCATCGTAATCGGTATATCAGTGCCATAGAGATAAACGTTTCCTTTGGAATGTTATTCGCGTTGTCAAAAGACCACGTACCATTGACGCGCGGCTATTACTCACGACTCCGAGCGTATGACACCGCAACAATTTTCCTGGAAGCTGCGCGGAGACGCTTCCGAACGCGCGTCCTTTTAGTTGCGCAATCATCGGACTCTCTTATTTAACACTAAAATTGCCAGATGCGTTAAAATGACCGATTCGCAATAGCTTCGTTTTATAATTCTTAAGATGACAAATATTCTTAAGACAAATTATTGAAAAAGTTGATTTAGCAATAGGCAAACTGAATTTTAAATTAATTGAAGTCTCGATAGATGTACCCTTAGAGTTTTTATAGAGGAATTTCAAAAAGATTTAACACTAAAACTACCAGATGGGTTAAAATGATCGATTCGTGATAGCTTCGTTTTGTAATTGTTAAGATAACACATGTTTTTGAGAGAAATTATTGAAAAAGTTGATTTAGCAATAGGCAAACTGAATTTTAAATTAATCGAAGTCTCAATAGATGCACTCTATTTAGTGGAAAATTATTGAAAGTGTAATGAAAAATGGAAAGTACAATCTTTAGAAAACTAACATCGAATGATTGAGTTCTTCCAAAATTTATAGGGTGGTTTATTTTTATTTTCTATAGACGATGAAAGTGTTTAGAAGATTTATTAGATTTGCTTCTAGGAAACCTGTAGAATGTTTGGTCAATTATATTGTGCAAAATTTTCTTGTGCACTTGCACTACTTCGAAGTCAATGATAGGTTTGTACAAGTTATCTGACTTCTCTGAAAACCTCTCGAGTGCTCGGGCGATTTACTTTGCACCTTCGAAGAGTGTGCAGTGGTTGCTCGATTTGTTTTACTTGCTGTGAAACCCGTGCAGTACTCAGTCAACTTGTTCTACTACTTTGGTACCCATGTAGTACTTGTTCGACTTATTCTATTTGAAACCTGTATCATATTAACTCCATTTCTTCTATTTTTAACATAGTTGGGTAGTACTTATTCAACTTCTACTTCTTAGAATTGGTATCATGCGTACTCTCCGTCCAACAAAATATAAAACTTGTTTGTTCCAGTTATTTCGTGTCATTTGAACGATCTTTATTTAACTTATACACTCTGTTCGGATGCTTCTAATTATTGTGTAGACTTATACATTTATAGAACTTCAAATTAAAATATAAATTATAGAAATCTAAATATTTCATTTATCTTGAAGAACTTCATGCTCGTTAAATCTACTTTTAGCTCTAATTGCAAGTTGGACATAAAATATCTTTAAATCTTCTTTCCTCAATCATAATATAAAATATTCTAGCATACGATATACGAATCATAGTTTTGCATAAGAATTCGCAGTCTAATTACCATAATTTCCATAGGTATGTAAATGAAATTATACTCATATTCATCGTGTATTCAGTTATCATTTGCCTTTATTCTGACCGAACGTCTACCAGGGAAATCACTGGGTTAACAGGTTAAATTCTCTTTTACTCTCAACCAGATTTAATTTCGCTACATATCACATCACATATCAAATGCAAACCAAATTTAATAGAAATTAAATTCCTTACAAATCAAATCTACAAACTGAATACCTCACGTACAAACTAATACCCATACAATTCAAATTTTCCACAAATAATAGTAAAATAACATTAAAACTCTAAAATTCTAACTCAGTACATCTCAATGAAATCAAACTCCCAAATCCATCGGAAACTACACTCCAAACCTCAAACTCCAAACATCCACTTACCATAGCCGCAGTCTGCGAGATAGGGGGTCCCTCTTCCTCAGTGCTAACCCTCGCGACAGCGAGGAGCACCGCGAGCAGGACACTTCCGGTACACCTCTCCCAGCTGAAGAAACCGTTCCACCTAGCCATCGTCTCCTTGTTCCTCAAACCCAACAATCTTCGAACCTCTGATCAACGGCTGCGACTATTCCACCGAGTAAAATCCTCGCCGATCACAAAAGTCCCCTAAACGTTCCAGCACCCCGACGATACCACTGACACACGTGTTTCCGCAGGATCGTCAGCCCCAAGATCGCAGGACCGCCACGTGTCCTCTCGATCAAGAGAATCTTCTAACTCCCCAACCTGAACGATCCTCGATTCCTTCACGATCAGTCTCCTGCAAGAGCTGTAGATCAAGTGTCCACCGATCTCTCGAGTGTCTCGCAGCTAAGGTACGTCCTAACGAAGGATTCCGACTGACCACCTTGTCCGACAGTCGGTGGTAGCACAAAGGGTGGCAGCCAGGTTGGCCAGACAGGCAGAAACCGTCGTTGCCACGACACTATCGATCGTTTTCCACCGCGCGCGTGTGTCTGCTCGCGAGCCACTTCGATCGAGCTTGCCTTTCTTCGGTTCTTTTCGGTTTTTTTTTCTTTT